CCATGTAGGAGTAAGTCAACACTGGCGTGATCACGTTGGTCACCTGCCGGGCATGCGAGGAGGGCTTGAGCATGGGACACGTCCCCAGGGGAAGTCCCCAGCCCGAAGGAGCATGGTTTGGGTGGGCACCAGCTGCTGACCCCCATGGTGAGGAATGTGGCCCCCAGCGTGCTCGGCTGGGGGCTTGGCTGAGCTTTGGCCCCCTCCTGTGCCGGGAATGTGGTGTTCCCACGGACACAGAAGCCTGCTGGGACTGGGGCCAGCATCCCTTGGTTGGGGGGGACGATGACATGTTGCCCCTCCTTGTCTAACCCCATCATTGCTAGCAGCCCAGCAGTGCCCAGCCCTGTGCCCCTCACTCTGCCCCACGCCAGCATGGGAAGGTCATCCTGGTGAGATGGGACGAGGCTTCTGCCATCCCCAGGTGGGCAGGGGTCAGGCATCACCCCCCCAAAATTGGTTGCCAGCTTGGGCACAAGGTCTTATGGTGGGGAAAGGAGCTTGGGACTGAGGGGACAGGTTGACCTGGCAGCTCAGTGAGACAGCGATGTGCTGGACCTGTGCCACACCACCTTCTCACCCCTCCCCCCGCCAAAAAAGCACCGCCATGCATCACCATGTGCCACCTCACCCGGGATGTGGCACTCCATTCCTGCCACCCCCCATGCCCCAGGACCGCGGGAGGATGCTCCGGCCAGCCCCAGGGCCATGACCATGTCTGGAAAGGGGGACACCGGGGTGGGGGAACAGGCTGCCCGCGGCTCACCTCTGCCTTTGTGAAGTTCTTGTCAGCACCCAGGAGATACGGGGTGATGAAGCTCTCCCCAGGCCGGATCTGCGTCATGAAGCCATAAAAACAGAGGTAGAAGACCTGTAGTTTCCAGCGTTGGTCCGGCACCGTCTCTGATGCCGTTTTTTTGGCATCATCATCCTTTTTGGGCATGGCTCTGCCGGCTTTGCAGCAGGACAGCGGCGGTATCCCAGGGACCATCAGCTAGATAGGTTTTGCCAGGCCAGGCAGCCTCTTCTCCGTCCGCAAGCCTTCTCCGACGCATCGAAAGCCACGTCGCTGCAGTTTCTGGGGAGAAAGCGGCATTTGGCACAGGCTCAAATTCCTCCATAATCGCAAGGCAAATAAATACCGCTACCTTCTCCCCAGGAGATGTTCTTGTAAGAAGAAAAGCAGCCGCGCGTCTTGCTGTGCAGAAAGGAAGGGGGCGGCGGGGGGGAGGCATTTAGGGCAGCATTTGTAAATCCAGTATAAAAGAGCCTGGATGCACAAAGCCTCCTCGGATCCCATCACCTCCTTTTTCTCCCTTTTAAGAGTCAGTGGGGTTTTACCCCCTCCCCGAGTCACTTCACTGCAGACCTGGAGGCAGAGGGATGCAGACGCCCTGCTCCGGGGACGCTTCGGAGAGAGACAGCCATGGGGATCGTGCCGATTCTGAAAGCGAGTTAATGAGCATGGCGGGCACGGGGCTGCCCATGTTATACATTAGCTGGGCAGTTGGCAGGACTTTAGCCGAGCCATAGGCAAGCGGCTGCCCCTCAGCTCTCCTTCGCCCCGGAGGGCTGCAATGCTCGGGCAGCATCGCCTGGCCTGGGGAGAATGTAAAATGTTACGAGGTTCATGGTCTGGAGGGGGATTAAATGCTCAGATCCTGAGTTCTGGCTGCAGGAAAGCTGGCAGCGCTGGGGAGGCCTGATTAGCAGTCACGGGATGAAGGCAGGGAAGGGAAAAAGTCCGGCCTGGGTGTCCTCCCAGTGCTCCCCATTCCTGACAAGTCACCGACGGTGTTTTTCCAGCCATAAAAATCCACCTGTGCCCATCCATGCCATGGGAGCAAGGTCTAGAAACCCAGATACCCTGCTAATTGCAGGATGACTAAATCACGGTCATTTAAAAGCGAGTCCACGGTCCCAGACTGTGCCCCCCCCCGCATGCTGCCATCCTGCACGGTGAGACCTTGCAAGACCCAATCCCCCCACCTGGATAATGCATGCGGCTAGCAGGGAAAGAAGCCGGTGCTGGTACTGGCAATGGGAAAAGCAGTTGTGACTGAAAACGAAAGCAGCAGCAGGAAGCGGGGTGCCCGTTCGCCCCGGCAAGGACTCACCGATACAGCGGCATTCCCATGGGATTGGTGCCTGAGCATCACCAGGCATCCTGGAGCTTCACAGCAGGACAAAAAGCCCCCACCTCTTAAATAGGTCCCCAAGGAGCAGGGGAGGGATCGCCCAGAGCCGGCACCAGCTTGGGTGCCCGACGGAGCCCCACAGCCCCTCTGCTGCGCTGGGAAAAGGGCAAGGGGCAAGAAGCGGGGACTAACCCCCCCCAAAACACCCGCCCTGGCAGCACACCATGCAGAGCCCGCCCAGGACCCCTGCCAGCTGGGACTGCCT